TCGTGCAGCTGACATTATCTATACATTTTCGAATACACACAAACATGTAACATCTTGGCAACAAATTGGGAATAGAGAGACGCTGAGCAAATCGACAGTTATAGACTCCTACAGTTACTGCCACAAAATTGCAGAAGTAATTTCCTTACACGTTGACATTAAACTTGGTGGTGAAAATAGACAATCCAAATTGTTAAGGCGTTTTTGACAAAATGAAAGTACAATCAGGGACAATGCACTGAGCAAATGTTAATCGTAGTGTTTGGAATTCATTAAAAAAAAGATGAAGTTGACCTTTTCTTTAAAATCAATTTGAAATCCAGAGAAACTCTCTTGCCGTACAACAAAAAGTACATGAATCTGAACGCCACGAACATTTGCTCTGACAGTGCAAAACAGTACGTCAGCATCAATTGACTATTTAACAACGCAACACACAAAAAAACTAACCACAGCATCGGTAAATGTGTAAACAGAACAAACGCAAAAAATAAAATTAACGACCTTGACAATCGGAAGGGATTGCTAAAAAAATTCTATTGAATGCTGAGGAACATAGAATGACAACACCAATACATAGCACTTTTTTTTATCGTCAACATTGCCTGAAGAGGGAGAACGAAGTTAATTTGGACTCTTAAATAATGCTGTTCTTTACGAATTCAAAAAAAAATGTATCCAGGCTTCATGGATGGTGAGGAGAATGTAGGTTTAAAACTACTAGCCATAGATAAGCCTACTGTTTAAAATAAAGATAAAGAGAAGTCTATTTCAAAACGTCCGTGACTTACCAGCATTATTTATGATATTGACAAAAACGAGACGATACATACGAGACCTTTAAAAACTACTGTTAAACATACACCGCTTACGCACCTCTTTCGTCCTTCACCGAATAGACCATACATATCCAAACACCGCATGCACACATTTGCATTTATACAGGCACACGCACACATACAGACATTAACACCAAAACTTTGGATGCAGAGTAGGTTAACCTCCCCGTTGTGTATCTCAAATAATGCAAAAATACCTGCTTTAATAAAATAATTTATAAACATAATCAGAAATGGCTTCCTCGCGAACTTGGCTTGCTCGCTTGCGTTGTGAAAAATAACCAAATCCGACTAACCAAGAGTAAAGTATCACACCGCATATGTATGGAATTGATAAAAGAACAAGTTCATAAACATAATCAGTAATGGCTTCCTTGATAGTCTCACTCGCTTGCTCGTGATGTAAAAAATAACTTAATCCTTTTAAGTACTGACAGTAGAATACCTAACTGCATAAGTTTGGAGTTAACGAAATAAACAATTTACGAAAATAATCAGTCATGGCTTCCTTGCAATCTTCGCTCACTAGCGTGAATTGTAAAAAATTACTAAATCCTACGGACTACTGATAGTAGAGTAGCCAACCGCATATGTGTTAAGTTAGTTAAATAAAAAATTTTTAAACACAATCAATAATAGCTCCCTCGCAAGCTTCACTCGCTCTCTGGCGTTTTACAAAATAACCAAATCTTATGAAGTACTGACAGTAGAGTAGCCTACCATACATATGTATGGTTAACAAAAAAAAAAATTTATTAACATCGTTAGGAATAACTTTCTCGTGAGCTTTGCTCGTTCGCTCGCGTTGTAAAAAAAAACGAAACTATATATAAAAGTACCGACAGTAAAGTAGCCAACTGCATATTTGGGAAGATAACAAAATAAAGCATTCGTGAACACAATCAGTAGTGAATTCTTTGTGAGCTTTACTCACTTATTCGCTTTAAAAAAAATTACGAGATCCTACGAAGTACTAACAATAGACTATCCAACTAGCCACCAGACACTCGCAGCACGGTTTTTTAGTAGAGGGTACTCTATTTAACTAGCTCAGAAACGATAAAAACTGGCAAAAAAAGAGTCTCAATACATAAATCGATAGGCTTTGACCTTCTCTTTCTAATAGTCACATAATTTTTTTCTGAAAAACTTTTTTTAGCGGTGAAAATCAAGTTCATAGTTTGAATCAATTTTTCCCAAAGTATGTTTTTTTTTTTTTATTTTATAGACCAATCCAAAGAGAAGCCCATGAACTACATCTCTTTGAGTTGTAGGTAAAATGTCTCGAGTGTTTCACTATTTTTAACTGGCAGTCTCTTGTATTCAGAGAGTCAAACATAACTGAGTACTTGATCTATTTTGCCTTTCAGACTATGCTGCACGTGTTGGCTAAATGTCCCAAGTCTTTTACTACCTTCCAGACTTAGTATGCAAGCACAATCGCCTCTGTGTGCCAAAAATAACGGCACACTCTAAGAACATTCTTTCCCTTAATTACAGATACAGATGAATCACACGATAGTAGTCGGGAAGATGATCAAGAGAATGAAACTGCAGTTTTATTCGGAGACGACACAAACCAAAAGGGGGAAGAACCAGAGCTGTATGCTGATCTTTTGAGCAGACTAGAAAGATGGATATAAATGGGGCTACATAACGCTAAAAAAGAAGTGGTCTTAAAGAAAGTGCCTTTTAAGGTCAGACTAGACTTAGAACCACCCCAGTAGAATAACGAGATACTGTCAGATTTGCAATCCAGAAGCTCGAAGAGGAGTATAGCAAAAGACTCCCATAACCTACATAAACAGCGTTTGGTGGTAGCTGCACTGTCAGCTAGAGCTGCAGCATCTGAGGCGGAATTGGCAGCTGTCCATAGAGAGAGAGAACTTGATTACTTGTTAATATTTTGAACTCGATAACGGAGCCCACATAACTCTTTTTCAAGTTAAGCGTATCAAAAACGCTGTGCATTATGGGCCATTACGATGAGTGAATCCAGGGAGCACTCAAGGCTACCAAGCCTACTATTTTTTGTTCGTTGATAACTTTTAAACAGTGATAAAAGGTGCCAGATCTATAAATAAAGTTGCAAAGGATCTATATCCTGGATCAAGGTCCTATTTAAAGCAATCGGACCAGAATGAAGAGCCTTTAAGTAGTTCTTAAGGAAGACGAGAAGTGAGGAAAGATAACATGGGTAAGCAAGAATCATTCAGGTCTCGTCAGCGTAGCTTGAGCCCAATCTATGTACCTCACCATGGGAGAGAATTCCATAGTTAATCCTAGCCAAAAAATTATGAAAGATAATGGGATGACTTTAGTGTGCGGTGTTAATTTAGGTTTTTTTTTTTTTTTTAAAGTCCTTGAGATAGTATCTAAATCATATCGTCAGTTATAAGACAGAAGTAAAGTATTTGTACTTTTTCGAATAAAAGAAGCTGAATTAAACAAGAGCATGTTACATATTCATCAGTGACTCTAAACGTCTACAAGTTAATATCCTTGGACAAGAAATGAAGTATAACTTATCACTAAACGAAGTTTAAATGAAGAACCTGCAATACCTGCATGAGCATATGACTAGACGAGATGAGGAGGCGTTGGTGAGGGCCATTTTTTCTCTCAAAAAATCTCTGAACTGTGGTTTCATCTGAGAAGCAATATGGTGTACTACAAGTTAATATTTTCAAACAAGTTAAATGGTATAATTATGATTGAACTTCACGAAAGCTCATTTAATCAGAAAGTGGCGCGCACTCTGTTTGCGTGTGTGTGTTACCATCAAAATTGTAAACTAATGCTCATTATCTTGAATATTTCTAGCTTAACTTCTGGTACAAAAAAAAACTATAAGAAACGTATTTCATAAAAAATTTTTCAAGAACCAAGGTCACAATATTACTTTAATAAGTGTTAAGATTACCACGGAATTAATAAATTAAAGTTATATTTACTACACTTATTAAAAGATGGTTCTATTAATGAAGTTGTATATCAAACTTGGCATACTTCTAACAGTTTTTCACTACAAATATGCAAAGATTCTTCTGAAACACTTATTAAAAATTTGTTATTTGATTTAATAAAACTAAGAATACATTTTTTTAAAGTAAAGCAGCAAGCCCACTTTTTATCGTAATTCAAAAGATTCCCATTATCTCAAGAATTTTTTATATCAATATACTACTCTTAAAATAACGCTTTTGCAACTAAAGATACTGCTCAATCATTCTATGCGTCTTATGCATGGGCAAACATATTTAAAATTTAAAGTACTATTTTGTGCCCTGCACAAAGCGTGCTTACCACGAAAATGGTAGAATGTAATACTAATTTTTAAAATTTTTGTACAAGACAATTTAATATCCATATAATTTTTTATTAGGACAACGTAAATGTAGAACATCATGCTCGTACTGGAATATTACTTGAAATACTTTTAACAGTACAGGACCTGCTAAAATATATTCTACAAAATTATATTACACACTACTGCAGCTAACTAATAATTAATAAATACTTCAAGCTTACAGAATATACTTATTTTAATTATCCTTTTAACAGTTTTGTTTCATACTTATCTGAAATATTTAATTAGATAAATTTAAGAATATTTAATTTAAAATAAATTATGTCAGTAAATTTGAAATGCCTAACAATGTTACATACTGTTAAATAAAAAACACTCTCATTTTTATTATTAACATTGACAAAAATTCTCAAGTCTTCAAAAATTTAGGCAGAAGTTAACTAATTTCGGTCAGTGGAATAGTCAGTTGCCAATTAAGCTACTAAAGACTTGCATACAATAGAAATTATCTTATGCTCAAGAAGTAGAAGGACTCGAGAAATTTAAGATCACTCGTAGCAATTTGAGCTACTCTCAAGTTGAAAGTGCGAACAACAAAAATAATTTCCACGAAGTTGAGAATGCCAGCGCTAAGTGTCTAAGAGGCTAGAAAAATTCTAGCTATGACGAAATTACTGGCAGAACTAAAACAGTTGTTTCAGAACCGTCATGGTCTATCTGCTTTTTGTTTTCTTGTATTATAATTTTATCTATTAGAACTAAGGATTAAAAAATTTTAAATACATTGTATATTTATAGTGATAAATAAAAACGAATGAGGATAATGTTAATTAAACAATTTAATTTCTCACCTTGTACAGTATCACAAGCACAGCCATAAGCCATGATTTTCTGCAATAGGCTTCTAAATGCCATAGGCTGAACGTTGGTATTATACTCTCTTCATACAATTTGTAATGGGGTGGGCATGGGCAGTTTTGCAATATAGATAGGAATGGTTGAATCATAAAAGTACCCATAATATGGTTTTGATCCAGAACTTGTGGTAAATTAGCCATGAAGACATTAAAAACTGGAGATAACCTGTTAAATAATTTTAACAACATTATAAAAAGTTTATTTTCAGATTGTTCTAAAAACAAAAGTCTACCATTACATTGTATAAAATTTGTAATTATTATTATAGCTATCTGTTGTTACACAACAGTGAATAAAAGTAGGTAAACCATGGGGATTCTAAGACAGTGCGGATTCTAACACAGCTGTGTCGGAATCCTCACTATTTTAGAATTCCCATAGGACTTTTTGATTTGCTGGTGATCTCAAACTCCTTTGGCTTTACACCTCTACTTTTTACCTCTACTACCTTATATTCTCATGCTAAAACTTTTCTTTAATCATACCAAGATGAAAATTATGATTTTTATTGATACTAATACAAAAAACAAATTCAAAATAAAAGAAAATTTGCTTAGCTGTGTGCAGTTAAGACAGAAATCTATGTTGTGTTAGACAGATACATATACTTCTATTGGTAGTGCAGATTTTTACCTTAGCAGCACATAATGTATAATAAATCTTACGTAGAATTCTATCTTAGCTATGCGTTGCTATTACTGTACACTTTTTCTAGTCATTGCTTGCATAAGGGGGTACCTGCAGCATGTAGGCACTCACTATGCTGCTGTGCAACCATCGTCGGCGTCGTCGTCTCGTCGCAAGTAAAACGTGGTGCTCTCATTGTTATAGAGTCTGTTAGATGTCGGCGCGCGTTTGCACGGACTTCATTGTCTCCGTCACTTTGATGCTCTGCTATAGCCCTAGACACTATATTGTGTGTGCATCAGAGATTGTAGTTATTAAGTACTTATTCTTGTTAACATTCGTTTGCTGCATTTATAAGTTCATCGATAATGTATTTTAATTAAAAAAGGCGTATCATCAAACGGGATACATAGGAAGCTTGTGTGAAGACCGGATCACGACTGATGGAATAAATGTTTTTCCTCTCTTCAGCAACTCAAAGGGTTGATAAGAAGAGAGCCACGAAGTTTACAGGCATATAGGTTTGTACACAGACGTTTGGTCAAGATGCGTTTCTTCTTTTTCGTTCCATTTTAATTGACAAGCGTCGTTGTCAAGACAACAACACAACTCTTTTACTTTGTTTTTTCTTTGGCTGTAAAACAAACGTCAGTTGGTGATTATCCATCAGCCTGTAAAAACCGATTCAACTGAATTAGAAGTCTCGGCCTGCTCTAAGGCAGACCGCTAGCAAGTAATTTTCGTCTCAACAAAGATCAAGAACCCCTGTATCGACCTCTGATGGATGTTGAAGAGCCTGTGTGGTGTCCTTTCGGTTTTTTACAACGACCTTATGACTAGAATCAAGATGCTGATGCTGTTCTTCTAGAGATAGTGAACCTACAACGTCGCGGCCTGGAGTAGGATAAGAGAGAATTAGAGATTGAAGCTCCTCTGGCAGTTTACGATCGAAGTCATGCTGCTGCTCCACCAGTCCCAGAGCTTGTGCCTGCGGCTCCCGTGGTAGCTCGCGATCGAGCGCCACCACGTCAACGTCGTGCGGCTGCCCCGCTGGCCCCAGAGCTTGCCGCCGTGGCTCAGCATCTAGTTCTCCAACATCATAACCTCTTAGAAAAAGAGGTTTTCTCCAATTCGTCTTCGGAAGAAGAGTTTATGAGTAACGTAAGAACATCCCCCTTCGATTCAGGTAACGAATTTAGTGAAATTGACAAACAAAATTTAAGCGCGAATTTAAACCATCGCTTANCTCAAATATAAGGACTGGCGCGTAGAGGATGGGAGACTATATTGTCATTGGGTAGATTTGCTGTTAGATCCAATCACGCATCGAGAGGTAAAATGGCGATTGGTAGTGCCGGAAAACTATAAGGAGCGCGTCATGACCGATGCACACTGTTCGCCGTCGAGCGGACACATGGGGATCGAGAAAACTTACGATCGCGTAGCTCGTGAATATTACTGGCAGGGAATGTATTATGACCTCAAGAGGTTCGTAAAAGCGTGCAAATTGTGTCAGCAGTTTAAAGTGCCGCAGTCGGCCACGCAAGGGTTAATGGGTAAGCGAATCGTGAAGAGACTGTTTATTTTTTGACTTTCAAACCTTTTCTGCTTTCGTGACCTGAAGATACGAAGGTCACGAAATGAGCAGAAATGTTTTTGAATGCTCGAAAATTTAAATGCGCATTTAAATTTTCTCTCTGGATAATAATGCTCCAGTTCCGAGAAATCTCCTTTATTTCTTTATATGGGATTGGCAAGAGATTAACAACCAAAAATCGACTATGAGGTAATGATAATTTGTATTTAAAAAAATAATATACAAAATGTAAGTTGACCAAGAGTTCGCTACGAGGAAACACGAATCTCAGTACGTGGTATAAAGGACGAAGCTCGAGACGACGATGTAGCAAGTCGTTTGAGAAGACCTTGGACTTAATCATAAGCAAGAAAGACTTTAAAGGGGCTCAGCTCGAGACGACGATGAAGCTAGTCGAACGAGCTGGCCTCCAAGAATCAGGCTGATCCTGTTATCCTTTTAATTCGTTAACAAATCACCTCTACTCAGAGAAGACGTGCGCTATACCTTAGGCGACTAGTTAGCGACGATGAGAAGGCTGCCCTGATCCTGTCACAATGGTTGCGAGTTTAGCCATAGAAAAGCTGCAGCGACTTTAAATATCAAGCTCGACTACGCGGGAGCGACTTGATACTTGAAAGGTCCGCGTGCTAGTAGAAGGAGCTCAGCCGAATACGCGAGCTCGCCAGCAAAGATAGTCGGCGCTCGAGGCCGGAGAGGGAGAGGAAGCACCCACACCTGCGGGTATTGTACTAATTACCCGAGTCAACGACCAAGTGTGTGTGCTCCCACTACTCCAGGCTCCCATCTCCTCGCGCCTACATTAGAACGCGTTAACTACACTGATCCCGACAGCCTTCTCTCACAATATTCACTCTTAAGTGAACATATCGCCCGCCTTGACGAATTCAGCGT